TAGGTATTCTTCCCTTCCTTAAGTGTACTTCCTGGAAGGAGCAGGTGGGCGGACCCAGTACATGTGGGTCTGCTCTCTCAGAAATCCTCTGAAAAAAGAAATGTAGGGAACTTTGGCTCGACTGGAGAAGTTGCACTGCAGCATTTGTAGCCGAAATGGAATGGATAGAGTGATTTATTGCAAGTATTATAATGAGGGGAAAGGAAATAGAATCAAAGTCCATTTACACTTACTGGTAGGAAGCAAATGTGGAATGATGGCAAGGATGGTAACAGTTAATATTTATTGAGCATTTTCTATGCAGAAGGCTCTATGTGAGTATGTATTATTTCATTTCATCTTTGCCATAATCCCATTAGGTATATATTCTTTTTAACCCCATTTTGCAGATGAGGAAACTGAAGCACAGAGAGATTAAGGAACTTGCTTAAGGTCACATAGCTAGTAGGGGATAGAGTTGGGATTTGAACGTACATAATCTGATTCTAGCACCCATGCTCTTAACATTAACGCTACATTGAATCCATTCCAGATGCAGAATCAATTGAGTTTAAATAACTAGAACACTTCATATGAATACATACAAGTTTTTACCAACTTTTTATTTTGAAAAATGACAAATTTATGAAAAAGTTGAAAGACTAATATAAGGAACATGTATATAGAATCAACAATTTGGCTTCATTTAATTTCTCTATATAAGATCTCCTTTTTTAAAAAAGTAAATGGCATACATCAGGACGCTCCTAAGAACAAAGACAATCTCCTGAATAACAATACATAGTACCGTTATCACACACAAGAAATGTAACATTGAATATAGACAATTTTAATTACCTTTAGTTTGTTTTGGATAAGTCAGATCTCCTATTAGATTATTGAAATTGCACTGATAAATTGATTAAAAAAAACTTATTAAAATCTGATTTTTTTTTTTTCTGCTCAGAAATCATATTCCATGCCCATCGGCATTGAATTTCAGCGGAGATATGCAACAATTGTGCTAGAGCTTGAACAGCTGAACAAGGACCTAAACAAAGTTTTGCATAAAGTTCAGCAGTACTGCTATGAGGTAGGTAATTTGCATGAATTTCTCTTGAGGGGCTTAATACTGTTACCTTCATATTTTAGAAAACCCAAACTAAGCGAATATCTTTATAAGGGCCTTTAGCAGAACTATATTTTATATACGTTTTTACTCTTTACAGCATTAGTGTCAAAAAGTGCCTTATACCCAGTGACCTATCAGTTCTGTTGATTTTGTTTGTTTGGAATACAGATGATATAGATCTCCCCCCAAATTTAGAAAAATCCAGGAAAATAATTACTCTTAATTCCACTACCCCAAAGACTATATTTTGGTTTATTTCCCTTTAGTCTTTTTTTATTTTTTTATATACATATCTCAGAAAGTTATGATCGTGCTGTGTGCACAATTTTGTTTCCTCCCTCTTTAAACTTTACATTAAAACTATGGATTCTTGAACTTCAAACATATAATCAGGTTATTCGTGAATTATCATTATCATGCACATAAAATTACATATATGTAAAGGTGGTTCAACAGTTTCACCTAATTTGAATTTCTTATTACAAGGTAAGAATTAAATGATTAAGATGAGTTTAGAACGCTCCTGCATTTGCACTCTTAGAGGTTTTATGTTTCCAGTAAGCCACCTCTATTTGTGATGGGAGATTCTTAAACAGTTAGCTTTTTATGGTACTAGCCTCATAGGTAAGTTCCAAAGATCTGCCATTGGTGATCTTGTCAATCCACATGAATTGAACTGAGGGGAATAAATTGTGTTTACCTACTAAACTCTGAGCATATTTGCTCATTCCTCGAGCCATCAGTTATTTATTTTTATTTTCCTGGTAGTTGGCACTTACCTACACAGCAGTGTGTGTTGTCCTAGCAAATAGATTTCTCCCCCTGTACTAGCAGCTCTCCATGAGAGGTGCAAAGCAAGCAGTCCAAGACGACACAAAACAAAGCTGATGATACATCAGAAGTGGGTTGCCCATCAGTCTTTTTGTATAATTTCATCATGTACACAAGGTTATTTGTGATAGGCTTATTTGCTGATGAAGTAAAATGATTTAATTTTCACAAAGCTCTTGTGGAAGTACAATATTGATTTTCAGATAAGAACATATCAGAAAGAACACTGTGACTAAGCAATTCTACTCCTAAGTACATACCAAACAGATATGTGAACGGTATTTACCAAAAGATAGACCCTAGAAAATTCACAGCATCATTGTTCCTTAAGCCAAAAATTAGAATTTATCCAAATACCCATCAATACTAGAATGAATCAATAAACTATCATAAAATTATACAATGGAATATTACTTAGCATTGAGAATGAATGAACTGAACTACGTGCAAGACCATGTATGTTTTTTTGGATGAGCTCACAAATATAACAAACTCTAACCCACATAACTTGAACATAGTTTTTTGACTATATATACTTAGTCTAAAGGTAAACCGAGCTTTAAACAAATATTGAACTTTAGTTGGTAGGGTTTTTTCTCATAGTGGTCAGGATTAGCAATTCTGAAACTGTATTCTAGGATTGAGCAAATGAGTAAATAAGTATATTGAGAGTAATAGGAGTCAGGTATCTCGCTGTTGGAGAAAGGAGTTAGGAAGAAAGGGAAAACTAGAATGAATACTGGTGCTGGATTAGAATAGGAAGAATCAGTAGGAATTCGTGGTTCATTTTACTTTTATAATATGGATATGAGTGAGTGTGTATGTCTGCTGGGAGAGCCCAGAGCAGTGACACCCTGATGGCAGTGAACACACCTAGCACCCAGATCTTGGCTTCTAAACACTGTTCTCCAATAAAAGGAAGCAGGGCTCCTGGAAAACGAGACTGATTCCAGAGCTAAGGCAGAGAAAGTAGAAGATGAACCTGGACCGTCTTCTTGTGCCAGGGAAGTAAGATGTGCCCCCAAATATATGGGGACATGTCAGAAGGAACCAGCTTAACAGGGTCCCCATTGGCCAAATCTGGGACAATTTGAGCTTCAGCATAAGTAATTATAGTGAAAGATTATAACCCATTGATTAAAATAAGATCCATGAGTCCATACTAATTTTAATAAACTAATTAATTTGTCAAGGAAAGTTCTTACAGTAAAATGCCAACTAATAAATGTAGAAGGAATGATAAAAGTGAGAAAAACAAGGGCCGGCCGAGTGGCTCAGTTGGTTAAGAGCTCGCTCAAGAGTTTGAGCTCTGAGCAACAGCGGTTTGATGCCCGGCCCAAGCTGAGCAGCCGCTGAACTGCCAACAGGTGGCAGGATGGCTCAGCTTAAAAAAAAAGAGAAAAACACCATTTAGCAACCATCATAGTAATGATTGGTAAAAGCAAGAATCATCAATAGATGCTAAAACTGGTGGGTAAAAAGTTTGATGAGGTACAGAATCTTTACATAGCCTCAAAATATCTCTTCACAAATACTTATTACAAAAATCCTTTACTATGGGGAAGTCTGGCAGACGCTTAAATATTGGGTTGTCGGAAAAGTCATGACGTGTTTTTTTCTATGTTTTTCGTTGCAAAAATGCGTCATGACTTTTCTGACAACCCAGTACTTTAACCAAGTGATAAAGATAACATCACCAGTAATAGGACAGATCAGTGTCACGTGCCTCCTAATCATGATACACCGAGAAGAACTCAACATCACTTTTGTGGCACTCCTGCCAAAACTCATAACCTCAGTCTAATGAGGAAACACAAACCCACGTTGAGGGATATTATACAAAATAATTGACTGGTACTCTTCAAAATTATCAAGGTCATGAAAGACTGGAGAACTGTTCCAGAATAAAGGAATCCAAAGAGATTAGATTCCTTTATTCTAATATACTTGGTATTAGATGTATTCAGGGGAAAAATAGCGACGTGTAGGACATCATTCAGTCAGTTGATGAAATTTGGATGTGGACTGTTAGAAAATGGTATTATGTCAATGTGAAATTTCCTGATTGTGATAATTGCATTTTTCTTATGTAAGAGAATATCTTTGTACTTAGGAAATACAAACTGGAGTATTTAGGGATAAAGAGTATATAGAGAGAAGAATTATATATACACAAACAGAGAGAGCAAATGTTAAAGCAAGTAAACTAAGCCATAAACAGTGAATCTGGATAAAAGGTTATCGGGAGTTTTTTGTTCTATTTTTTTTTAGAAGTTTGAAATTATATCAAAATTAAAAGTTACCAAAAATATAAAATAAAAAAAAAACTGTTGGGGAGGGTGGTGGTAGATGAGGGTAAAGGGATCAAATATATGGTGATGGAAAAAGAACTGACTCTGGGTGGTGAACACACAATGTGATATATAGATGATGTATTATAGAATTGTACACTTGAAATCTATGTAACTTTGCTAACAGTTGTCACCCCAATAAACTTTAATTTGAAAAAAAAAAAAACTGTTATAAGGACTGGCCAAGTGGCTCAGTTGGTTAAGAGCTCGCTTAAGAGTGCGAGCTCTGAGCAACAGCAGTTCGAGTCCTGGCCCGAGCTGAGCTGCCGCTGAGCTGCCAACAGGTGGCAGGATGGCTCAAAAAAAAAAAAAAACGGTTATAGGAAAAAAAACTTCTCAGGTAAGAGCGAGCATCATTTTTGTTATAAATGCTAGTTTCGTAAAAATCCAAATCTGAAAATGGGGTACAAACTCACAGAAATGATCGTGGCCTTACAAGTGTACCCCTTACATTTCCATCACCCACATTCAGCTTGCTCCAGACCAGGGGCTCCAGCCTGCAGATCAGCCCACAGATATGAGACGAAGGTGTGAGGAAGAAGCCCAGGAAATTGTTCGGCATGCAAACTCCTCCACAGGACAGCCTTGTGTTGAAAATGAAAATCTGACAGACTTAATCTCCAGGCTTACAGCTATATTATTACAAATTAAGGTAAATTGCCGAGAAAATATTTTTCATTTTTACACCTAAACGAACTATGCTAATTTGTTGCTGAAAATTTATAATCCATAGATTATATCAGGTATTTTTTGTCTGTATTTGAACTATAATTCAATTAAGTTTTGAAATATTTTTTCCTTTAGTGTCTAGCAGAAGGAGGAGACTTGAATTCCTTCCAGTTCAAATCACTTACAGATTCATTAAATGATATCAAGAGTACAATAGATGCTTCTAATATCAGGTAATTCATTAGATGTACCTTAATCATTCTTACCTTCAATTCATAGTGATTTCCAGTACAAGCTTTAAGAATGCATATTTGTGAAGTACGTATTTATATAATAATTTGTATCCTTTAAATAAATTGTAGAAGAGCTTTTCAGTTATATCCAGTCTATTGGTAGAATAGGAACTTCACATGTGTTTTTTATATAAAGGAATCAGAAGACATATAATATGTAGGTTTTGGTTTAGCCTGGAGGTTCAACTTAGAAATAAAGCTTCCCCGATAAAAGAGAGATTCATCCTCTCTTTCCAGCACTCTGTGACTCCTGGCTTCTTTCGAGCTTAGTTTTCAATTCCTCCTGACGTAGGATTAGGGCTAATGCAAAGGGGACATTTCCTTGCCTGGGGTCATCATCTTAGCTCTTTCCTAACTAAAATTCAGCTCTTCCTTTTTAAAAATTTGTTTTTAATTTTGTAAAATCAAGCAATTAACTGTGTTTCTCCTTTCTTTAGTTGCTTTCAGAATAATGTAGAAATCCACGTTGCACATATTCAGAGCGGCCTGAGCCAGATGGGAAACTTACATGCCTTTGCAGCAAATAACACCAACAGGGACTAGTAGGTTAATTACTCCAACTGCATAGGACGTGGTTTTCGAGAAGTTCTTTTCCTTTATGTAGGCTTCCAACACCAAATAACCTAACTGCTGGAAAACAAGGGAAATGTCAATCTCCAAACAAGGCGTTTTAATATACTGTACTGCTTCTTAAACCAGCATTGCTGACCAGCATTATATTTATTTTTCTTTCGTTATTCAGCTGCAGTAGCATTGCTTGTGTTACCTGTGTTTATTAGCAAGTATTTTTAAACTGAAAATATCTGAGCATAATATAACTTCATGGAAGAATACATTGACCACTTTTTTAACGTGCATGAATTCAACCCAACACATGCAGACAACTGCAGAGGAGAACATGAAGAAACGTGGTCTTTTTGTACATATGCGTGGCAGTGTGGAAATTCCATCTCGAAAGACAACTCCGATTCATTCAGTGATCACCATCTCAGTCTTCAAAAGACAGCATTGTGAGATATGGGAAGTCCGAGTTTGAAGGAAGGCACTGGAATGTAGATGGAAAATGTGGACTTTACAAGTATATATGATATATACTTGCAAGGTGACATGGATCTGTAGATCATTTTATAATAGTAAATATTTTAATTTATCATAATTTATAAAAGAAACCTTTGTTGAAAGAAAATGAAGGAGCAGGAAAAAAGCATTACTTGCAAAATGCTAAATTTCAGCAAGTGGATTGGGCATGTCTTTTCCCATCAATTCAGGGCAAAAAGTGCTATTGTTATGAGATTTATTTTAAAAAAAAAGACTGATAACACACTATTTTCATATTTTTTTGTTTATTTGCACAACTTTTGAAACCAGATTACTGGTTAAAATCTAACAGTACACAATTTATAAAGTAAACAGATTTTATAAGGAAAACAAATATAATAACCAGTGCTGTGAAATGCAGGAAAATGGTTTGTATTTGGTTGTGGTTTTATTTTTAGTTTTAGGGGGTTTTTTTTAAAGGAAAACTCTGCCTAAAATGTTAACCTTGTAAAAAGTGTGTACTTGGAATTTTCTTTGTTTTAATATAGAATATTATAAAGTCAAAATATAAATTGTTTTCAGATTTGGAGTTTAAGTCGTAGCTGTAGAAGTGGCTTTGATTCTTTTAGATGTCTCATAAAATGAGGCTTTTATATGTTAATGTATAATAAAACTGAAACAAGATTATTTTCCATTTGAAATTTTTGTATAGTTTAAAAATGCTTCCATATTCTTTGTTGGTATTGTGCCACTGCAAAACTTTAGTGCAGAGTTTATATTTAGCTAAACTTATGTTAATTAGGAAATGCATAAATCTTTTATTCTTAATATTTGTAATTCTAAATAAATTGATCTATGAAAATTAATATTGTCTACATTTTCATTCAGTTAATGTAAGTTGATAAGTATTCCTTCTATTTAGGACATTTTAAAGAATTGTATGTTTTATTTTTAGGGGAAACAGTATAGATTAATTATCAAGTCATTCTGAATTACAGTACCATCCAATATTTTAAGGAGAGGTTATTTTCCATCCCTGAGTCAATTACTGTGTAAAACACTAAGCAAGTACGTTACTTGGCTTACTATAGACATCGTGAAAGGTTGATTTTAATATATTCTGCCTAGAATTGGGTAAGCATTTTTTTACCTTCTTTTTTTTTTACACTTCACATTTCCTAAGGCTTACTTGTCACACTTAAATTATACCTCATTTTGCACACATTTAATTAAGCTCTGTCCGTGTCTTTCAGTGCCATCATGTGGTGATGGCAGGAACTGTGCCTAAGAATATATTTGAATTTTATTCGTTTTGGGAAGAAGAAATCCATGTAATTCAAAGTAGTCATTTTGGGTCAGCTGTACATTAATTTGAATGATGCTGCCACTACTAAACACATATTTAGAGCTCTAAAGACAGCTATCAAAGCCAGGTTTAGCAAACAAGCACATCATTTGTTAGGTAGATTTGGTTCTGAATTACTTCAAAAATCATATCCGCTTGCTACCATTGAAAATATACCAAAAGATTTGCCTATTAAATTTTTTCACTTGAATTCATCCACCTTTCTCCGTCTTCATTGTTAACTAGTCTCACTCAGCCCAGCTGCCATCAGTAGCCTGGCACATTGCAGTCATCTACTAACTTATCTCCTAGCATCCACTCAGCCATTTTCAAGTGCAGCCGTCATTAAGTGATATTTTTAAAATGCAGAACTGATCATGTTATCCCCATCTAAAGTCTGGTGGCTCTCAGGGCAAATTCAGAACTCGTACAAGACCCTCAAAGCCATGTGATGTGATGCGAGGCCTCCCCTACCAGTTTCTCCATCCTGCTCGTCACTCCACAGGACTTTTGCACAGTCAATGCCCTCTGTGTTCCCTTCTCACCATCCTACAGATCTTACCTTCATCATCACTTTCTCAGAAGCTTCCCTTGACCACAACACATCCTCTCCAGGTCCTCACGTACCTCTCTTTCTAGCACTTGTCACATTTGCAATTTTATATTTCTTCTTTCGTCTCCCTGCTGCCCGCTTTGCTCAGTGAGGGCAAGGACGGTTTCTGACTCTCACCATTTTATTTCCAGGCCCTGGTAAAGTGTTCATCGGCACCAAATATTTGTGGAATGAATGAACAAATAGTTTCAAAAGAGCTCTTAGGCAACATTAGCGCCACTAGAATAAAAGTATGGTCTTCCGTGATGATTGCTTTGAAAGATGAGACAGTACTCACGTGGATGTAGAAATTCTGCATAGGGGGTTGCTTTCAAACCAATCACATTATCATTAGTCCAGACTGAAATGGCCAGGCCAGTATAGGCAACAGCAGATGGGGTGTGGTTAGATGGGTGGACTGAGTTAGTCCTTGGTTTGAGCCCTGGCTCTCGTTTACTAGCTGTGTGATTGTGAACCACTGCTTAAGTTTTTTTATCTTTAAAACAATAATAGTCCCTACCTTATATGGCAGGTGTGAGGACCAACCATATAATGCCTGTAACACATTTAGCAGTTACGGTCTCTTCGGAGTTTGAAAGAGTACAGACTACTGTTCTTAGAAGATCCCACAGTTTGTAAAAATGAGAAATGTGACAAGATTTTTTAGTGTTTGGATTTTTAAATTGTTCCCTGGGAAAAACAGAACAATACAATATAAACGCAAGCAGACAATTAAAGAGCTAATCACAAGATTTACTTTAATGGACTGTAAGTTTAAGGTGTTCTATGTCTTTCAGTCTTATGAATGTATTTGTGTCATCTTTGGCCACGTCACAAGTCAAAATGCAAAGGAAGTTCTCAGTGAGACCTGGCCACCCCCACAGCAGGCCCTGAGCACAATGTTTGGCACACAGGAAGCACGCACAATAATAATAGCTCATATGTATCTTGTTTTTGGTTTCGGACAGTTCTCAAGGATTCAGAGGTCAAGTCTGCTGCTAAAGCCTGAACTATGTCCTGTTGCTTTTCATAGTGGATTTGCTACTCTGAAAAGTGCAAGCTGTTTGAATAACACCTTTATGAAAGTCAGGGCAACTGGTATGTACAATTTCTGACATTCATCATAGCTCATACTTCTGGCAACCATCACACATGAATCCTGGCCCTCACCATGGCTTTTCACGAGCCTCCTCCAAAGAAACCTCACCCCTGGTTACCTCACACACAAACAGTTTCCTTTGGCCCTCAGGAATTTGAAAACCCTCAAAATATCAAAATAATATATCCCAGGCTAACTTAGAAACAGTAATTTACATACATTCTTCAAGTATAAATTGGGAAAGAGAAATCTAAAGCCAAAAGATTCATGTGACTAAACTTTGAACAAGCCAAAGATGGTTTTAAGCAAGTTCAATTTCTCAGCACAGTGACCTGCTGATAAAAGATGACTGGCTATAAACGACATTTCCACAAACTTGTTTCTCTTAGAAATGTTTTTCATGGCCACGTGATATGTACTGGGCAACTGTGGAGCGAAGCGAATCACTATATTAAGTGCTGTCTACAGGACTGAATTCATTTAAATAGAATTACAATGAAACATTGGTGGAAAACATTTAATAAACCCACTAAAGTTGGACAGAAGTACAGCAAACAAGTGCTAAGGGTAACGTCAGAGTGATTGAAGTAACAGGTACAAAATCGGGATCAGAGGAAGTTTCAGACTTCAGGAAGAAGAGGGTCTCCAGTGTTTTGAAAGAGAGAGGTATTTGTTTGGTTCCAAAAGTGAAAGGAGTGGCTTTGAGACAGACACATAACTTGTGGATGGGTGACCCTAGGAAGATGTGCATAACTGCCCTGGAGGCTACAGATGTCAGTTAACTACCTGGGAGGATAACCAAATTTTTATAATTTGATAGCAATTGGAGGCGACTACAGATTTCTAAACAGTAATTTTTTAAAAGTTGTGAAGCTAGAGGCACGGAGCTCCTCAAATAATCTGGATGCAGAAGCATTGCAGCTACTACCAAGTGTAAAGATGACAGACCACATTTAAAAAGCAGTAAATCTTGGTGACAGGGTGAGGATTGAAGGAGCTGGGTGAGAGTTTACGGTTATGAGATGCCTTGGAGGAAGCATGAGAAGACAGCAGCTGTCAAGCACAAGGGGAAACTGAGTCAAGCTGAGGCGTTCTCGTGAAGAAGATAATGAGCTCTGAAAATCCAATCCAAAACATAAGAATAGGACTGGCAAGGAGCAGGGATGGAGACCGAATTGAAGGTGCAGATTTGGAGATGCACAGATTACAATGAATGCCAGAACTAGGGCGGCTGTGCTACAGAGAAAGAACTGGGCCTGGGTAAAGGTTCCTAGGAGAAGGAGCTTCACAGGTGAGAGATGATTGTCAAAACCATCATCAGCGTTCACATGGATGTGTCTTTAACATGGAAGCCAGAAGGGACAATATTCTGATGTGTGTCTCCCCGGCTGTCAGTCATGGCTCCCCTGATCCTATCTGGAATTCTAGAATCCTCAAGAGTTACCAAGGGAGGAAAAGACATGTTCCTCCCATGAGTCCAGCTTCGAGCCAATGTCTTCAGGAAGAAGAGAATAGGTTTCAAAATTCTGACCTTGGGAGCTAGGGTCAGAGCTGCCCCCTCCAACCATGTTGGGGTCTGGCAGGCAGTTCACATCCACCTCCAGAGGCAGCTGGGACTTCAAACATTTCGCTTCAGGTCCATGAGCAGGGTGGTGGAGGAAGGACTCCGGCCTGGCTGAAGGTTGAAAGGGCTTCCCGCTCTGACGCCGGGACTTGGCACGTCTGTTCTGGAACCACACCTGGAAGAGGGGACGGAAAAACTGCTTTGCGTTGGAGTCCTCACGCTGCTATTACCTTCACAGTTCAGGAGAAGTTCCAGTCTAACATTTCCTGGCTCCCTGCTTCAGACAGAACCTTCTGGTTTTCAGAAAACACTCGGGCCTTTGCTTAGAAGCTCAGCACCTGGCTGTCTCCGCCTCACCATTCCCAGCTGCAAAATTGGAATAACGCTTCGTTCTGTATAAGCATGATTTAGGGGCTTTTGCAATAAAAGCTGGAGTTACAGAAATAGAAACACTTCGAATTAGAGGGAGAAATGCTACTACGCTTAAAGATGATCATTAAAATAATTTAGAAAATCGGTTTTTTAAAGCACATATACTCCTTTGTCAAATTCATCCAGGAGGTGTTTTGCTCAGTGGACTTCACGTCTGTCAATTATTTTTTTTTTGCTCGCTATTTCCCAACAAATACTGAGGGTGTCCTGCTTAGGAAGCCTGCGTGGCAACTGTCAGAACTGACAGATGTATTCCACCAGGGATGCAGAAAAACAAGCCCACTCTCTCCCAGCTTTCAAATGAGGGCTCCTGCTTAAAACTGCCCTTGGAGTCAGACCCAGGTTCTACAGAGGAACAGGCATAAAGGCGGGTTTCTCATCACCACCGCGCTCCAGGACTCTCGTCGCAACTACTTTAGCCAATACACGTACCTTGCAATAGATTTTTCAAACTGTGATAAGAGGTTCATTTGCTTCCAGCTTTGCCTCAAGGTGCTACACCCTTTCGAACCAAAATTCCAGCCCCAATGCCTGCCAAGAAAAGTGGCCTAGGGGCCCAGGGGTAACTTAGAGAGCCAGCCCTGCCCTCTCTCAGCTACCCTTCTCCCCCTGGGGAAACCCCAACTGCGCCTCATCTGTCTGTTCTTCGTGGATAAGGAATAAGTGTGAACATATATCCATCACCTTCCGGTTGAGGATTGACTTTCTGGCCATTTCAAGGGACCGGCTAGCCTCCTGGGAGGGGCCCTTATTATATATACTTAATGAGATAGAAGTCATTGAGTGCGCGCCTGAGTTACTTCGTTTTTAAAAATCTCTATGCAGTAGGTACTGATCCTGTCCCTATTTTACAGCCTAGGACACTGCGGCTCAAGGGGAGTCGCCCGCCGAAGGTCTGGTAAGGCAGCGGGCGCCGGGGTGCTGCCCCGGGATCCCGGCTGCTGACCCCGGCGCCTCCACCCAGGGCACGCCCGCGATCGCGCGGGGCCGCGGCGGGCCGCTCACCTGGATCCTGGACTCGGGGAGCAGGGTGAGCGCGGCCAGACGATCGCGCAGGTGGATGTCGGGGTACATGTTCCGGCGGAAGACAAGCTCCAGTAGCCGCAGCTGCTCGGGGCTGAACGACGTGCGCTTCCGGCGCTGCGACACCGACGGGGCGGCCGCGCCTTTGGGGGGCCCAGGTGGGCCCAGGGCGGCGCAGGGTGGCGCGGCGGGCCCGGGGCCTCGCCCGACGAAGCCGGTGAAGGCGGCCGGGGCGCCACGCTCCGGGCCGTGGCCCGAGGGACTCGCGGGGAGCAGGGCGGCGGCGGGGCTCGGGGGCGGCGGGAGCGCCCCACCGGCCTGCGCGGGGCGGTACGACGGGAACGCGGTGCTGTCCCCGAACTGGAGCTGGCGGGACCCTGCCGTGGCCATCGCTGTCTGACCCCAGTGCGCCGCAGGGAGGGGCGCGGACCCCCAGTTATACCGGCCCCGGGGCCGAGGGAGGGGGCCTGGGGTGGCGGGGCGATCAAAGGGGTGGACGCGGGGAGGCCCGTGGCTCTTTGGGGCGCGAGTCCGCCCCCGGCCCTGCCAGACACCGGTGGGGAAGAGTCGCTTCCGCTGACCGTGGGATGCAGGGCGGGAGGCGTGAACTTGGGCCCGGACCCCCTCCCCGGGTCCCCTCCCCCGTCCATCCGCCCCGCCACCCACCGCAATCCACATCCCAGAGCGAAGGTTTGCTCGGGGCGGGGCGGCCCATGGGGCCCGGGTGCGTGGGCGGGGTGGGGACACAACCGCCTTCCCCCGGGTCAGGTCACCCACCCACTCGGTGCGGCGGCCCTCGGGCCGGCCTATCTCTCGGATGGTGATCCTTGCCCGCCGTGCCGCCTGCTGTCATCAAAGCTATTTCTTTACCCCCGACCTGCTATGTGCTAGACCCTGTACCGGGTTGGTTCAACAGCCCAGCCCCTGACCTCCAAGCCTCCCTAACACATCCTGAATCAAAAGGAGGGGGGGTAGGGGGGCAGATAAAGGGACCTCAAAGGAAGGCAGTAAATTCACCCTGAGGAAGGGGGTGGGGGTGAACGCGCCGGACTCTTGTCTGGAATATCGGTGTGGGCCTAGGAATAAGGACACCCTAGGCACGCAAGGTTGAAAACGTGCCCACATTTAGCAAACGCTTGATTTGGCCTTCCTGGAGGTGCCCCATGATGCTCAAGGCCAGCCCAGCTGGAAGGGAGGAGGTGAAAGGGGCCCCATGAAGTTCCCGCTCCCTCTTGCCTCGAACCTTTGGGCCTCGTTTCAAGGCCTGATTTTATCCTGATGTGTGCTGTGTTCATGGCGTAGGTATCTGCTTCCCCGCCTGGATTATAAAGTCTTAGGAGAGCAGAAACCCGTTTTTCTCCTTCAAGTCTATGGAGTGTCTACTTGTACATCTCCTGTGCATCGGGCACCCTGATAGACCCTGCGTGAACGTCTGTTGAATTGCCTGTCACGGGAGTTCACGTGCCAGAAAGAGAAACGCTTGGTCCAGCATAGGAACTGCTTGACTGCAGGGCAAGACCTCAGGAGAGGAGCCTGGAGGCCGGGCTCTTCTTGCTCCCAGAACCTGAACGCTGGTTTTACCAGGACCGTTCCCTGTCCATGATTCAAAGGGGGCTCTCTGTTGGGAGGGCCTTTCAGGGTCCCTGTCCTGTTGCCATCCACTCTAGAATGCTACAAAACAACCCAAGGAAGAGCGGGGATGTTTTCATCCTGAATGGACTTTCCAGCTGTCAAAGTAGGAAGGATTCTTGGGGCTGCTGAAAGAATTCTGTGCTTGATTGTCTCCTGGTGGGGTGGGGGGTGTCAGGGACGGTGTCCCAGACCCCTGCACTACTCCTGGGGCTCTTAGGGCAGCCTGACTATTCACTGCCTGCTCCTCCATCGACCTCCACCCCCAACCCCTCTTTCTCTTTCTCTTTCTCTTTCTCTTTCTCTTTCTCTTTCTCTTTCTCTTTCTCTTTCTCTTTCTTTTTCTGTTTCTCTTCCTTCCCTCCCTAATTCCTATGCCTGGTCATTGGGATTTTCAGGCAGAGGGTATATGGGATCAGAGGGCAGAGCCTCTATTTTTCTATGTTCATTTATTCTTTCATTAACTCAGAAGCCATTTCTGAAGTGTCCCTGTGCTAGGCTGTGCTTTATGCACGTTCCTATGAAGTAGGTATTCCTGTCCCAATTTTACAGAGCCGGAAATACTCTACCATCCCAGACGGGTCCAAATGACTCCATAACCATTGTGCCAAGCTGGCCTCCAGACTCGACTCTGCCCGCTGCCGAGTTCCCTGCCACCTCAGGAGGAAGGCAAAGCCCCTGACCCTCTCCAGTCCAAGAGGGGTGTTTGTTGTCTTTTAGGCTCATTAGGTTCCCAGTCGCAGGCAGTGACGATGCAGCCAGAGCTAGGCAGACCGTTGTTTACCCCTGGGGACCAGGAAGCCAACCCCCAGAGGAAACCAGAGGTTTGCTTGCTCCTGGCTGCCAGCTGAAGTTTCACTGCCAAAGATGGCCCTGCCGCCCAGAAACTCTGCCAAGGTCAGTCATGGGGGTTCTCCTGCCCATGTGGAATTCCTCCTCTCTCTCTCCCCTCCCTGCCCCCAGTCCTCTGGCCAGGCCCTATTTCTCTGCTGCTATCTGCTCGCTGGTGAGGCCCCCGAGCCAGCCTATTTGGTAGCATGCCCAGAAAATGGACCTGCAGACACAATGAAGTGCCTGGTCATAAATGGAAACTGGGTGATGATTGGACAAAGCAATCTAACCATGTACGACCGTCTTTTCTCTTTTAAGCTGGTGGTAAGAGATTCCAGCATTCCGTGTGTGGCTCGACAATCCTTCAAAACCACTGAAAAACCGTTCTCTTCTTAGGGCTTTTCCTGAGAGTTTGTGCGGTAATATAATTTTCTATATTGAAATAAGATCTCGGCCCTTTCCCTTTTCCCCTCTTTCACCTAAAATGAAGCTTTAATTGTGTGTGCTAGTATATGTATACTTAAAAAGTAAGCTTGGTGAGGTTACACTAGAAACCCGCGGAAGGAATTGGGAGTGAAGGGTTGGAAAGGGACACTTTAATGTTGCTTTAATATGTTTTTAAATCATGTGCATATATTACTGTTATAAGTACATTATTAAAGCCTAGGTTTTTTTTGATGACTAAATGTAAAATGGTATTCTGGGTTGGATGCTTTGAAAAGGAAAAAAGGACATTAGTGGGAAAACCGGTGAAATCTGAATTTTTTTTTAAACTAATTTTTAAAAACTGGAGCAGAGGATGCAATGTAATGTATCTGAAAGGAGAGATTGTTTCACAGTGGGAGTGGATTTCCCAGTTCTTTTGGGTTTTTTTTTTTTCATTGACTAGGGTTAGCAAGATATAAGCTTTTACAGGGCCTCTACAGAAACTCTCACTCAAAATTAAAGCTATTTTCTACTTCTGTTTGGTTTGACAGACACCTATAAAATCATATGCGATTTCCACTAAATCCAATATCTAGATCCCTTAATCACCCTGCCACAAACATACAATGAATATTTGTTCATTCTTCTATACCCAAATCCCCGGTTGGAACATGGAAAGAGCATGATCCTTGGCAATATCTTAAAAAAAAAAATTATTGCAAGTTAATGTCTCAAAATAGACAATCTGTGAAATTGAAGTGCATTTTAAATAGGTGCCATAAAGTACTTTCTTCTACTGAAACAAATCAGTGTACCCTCTTCAGAAGAGCAAAGTGAAGTTCAGGGCTAGCTGAAGACACCATCGCTAAGACCATAGGTGGGAGTTCCCTTCACCAATATCTGGGCTTCCTCTCTTGATTTGCTTTCGGCCGTTATTTATATTTGGTCTGCCAGTAACATCTGTTGAAATAGATACAAGGGGAGTGCAAGGTAGAATAGAAGACAATCCTTAGAGATGCTTCCTGTATAATGGGGGAAGACTGGGAAATATAAGTAAAGACAATAGAAAAGCAGTAAGCTAAAAAAAAAAAAAAAAACACCAAAAAAAAAAAACCCAAACAAACCATTATCTGCTGCAGCCCAGGCTGGGGAGAATGGAGCCATCTGAGGCCACCATCCTATTCTGCATCCTCAGTATTTCCCACCACAGTTCCTGTCCCTGACTCCCCCAAACCTCACAGAGGCCTGCCTTTCCTCTCTAAGTGCTAAGTACTCTCTTTCCTGGCTCTCTTTGTTGTTCAAGCCAGGCCCTCCGCGCGCTGCCGTAAGACCTGGCTCTGGAGCCCAGGGTGTTTATTAAAGAGAGAACCAGGAAAAGGCAGCCGAGGGGAGTCGATGGCTCTACTCCCACCTTGAGATCCCAGAGCTGTTTGCCCCTTTGATCCTGGCCTCGCTTTGATTTCCTCTCTTCTCCTGCCCAGGCCTCTTCAGTTCCCGAGTTTTATTTCAGAACCAGTGGTTACAAGAGATTGAAAGACAACGCCCCCCCCTCCCCCCCAAAAAAAGGTATTAATGTGCCAGGAAAGTGATAAACGTTAAGAAGCTTTTTTTGTTGTTTAGTCAGCACCATATAAACTCAAATAACAAATGCAAAAGAGACTTTGAACCCAACATGTTCAGCTTTTTAAGATGATTTCTTTTCTTCTTTTTGTTATTTCTTCCCAAAGCCTCTGAGTAGGAAAGACCCCTCTGTGTGATCTTTCATGGCCCCTAGTCACACAGCGAACCAATAAAGTTAAAAGAACTTGCAACCTCGGAGAAAGGAAACCGTACATTTTCCAAGCTTGTGTCTACACACTGGAAATGAATTGAAACAGCTAGCAGGATATTTGGTCCTCAGACCTCATATTTGTGTGACGTCTTCCTGGAACGTACCTATGGAGCACTTTAAATGGGAGTAATGCGACTGAGGAGCTGAATTTTTTACTTTATTTCAGTGTAATTGATTTAAATTTAAATAGCTACATGTGGCTAGTGGCTACCATATTTAACAACACAGCTCTATAGCATCATTCGGCAAATTGCTCTGTTTTCAATAATTTTTCATATGTAGATACAAAGAGGTATTTTGTTTGGTGCAAAATTATACACTAGATTTGAATTCTAGACTCTCGTTTTTAAACAGAACTCTGAATCATCAACATGATTACCTCATTTTCATACCAGACAGTCTCATATAGATTTGGCTGAACAGTGTGCTAAACATTACCGTCGCATTCGTAAATGGTCTTTCTTCAAAAGTGATGGTGTGATAGCCCTTGTTGCTAAAAAGTGTATGATACTACAAGTTTCTTTAACACTGTTGTTCTGACGTAAGCCCCATTTCGGTTTTGATCATTTTGTTCTTTTCTAGCCATATAATGAAACTTCGCTTTGGAAGTTCTCTGATTTCCTCGGTGGGATGTGACACGATATGGAATTAGCATATATCACGTATCTTGCAT